TTTGGGATTATTTTGCATAGTAACTGTTGGCACTTCTTCGAAGATAGAGACGGGTTCAATTTTTATTTTTTACTTGTGAAATGTTACATTCTTAAAAAGTACTTTAAACTGTATAAATACAATTGTAAGTGATTGACCAATCAGAAGAAAGTTATCCTATATCCCCCAGGTACACGTATGATATAACGATAATTCAAATTTTTTTATATGACCATTTAAGGTAATAGATAAACATTACGTATTAGACAATCGATTTACTGATTGCACATCAAATAATCGAGACTTCTGTCGATCTTGTTATGCTGATAAGAAGATAGGTCATGTGAATGTTGTGTCTGTAACTTCAATTTATACAATTCGTAGGTGTCCATAGATAGAGGTCTGATCCGATGAATGGTACATTCGAATATTCATTGAATATTCGAATATCCGAGTATATAATTGTTTCACTGAATTGAATATTCGAATATAAAATTTTTTCACCAAATAATTCATTGAATATTCAATGAATATATACTATCTAATCGACCAATTAAATACAAGATTGGTGTCATATATCATGCTCATATATATTGATTGGTTAGCAATGCTAATACTGTAATAATCATAGTCCAAAGTAGATGAATAAGATAAATCCTTATTAACTAGAAGTTTTCTCTATCGATTTTAATGTCATTTGTTAGCTTGTGTATTTAACCTCTCAATCATTCAATTTACTGTTCCCGAATCAACAACTCTATTTCATGATCATCAATATTCGATGAATATTCAGTGAATATTCGAATATTCTTTTGAAATTTGATGATAAATATTCGAATACATATTTTCGACCGGATCAGACCTCTATCCATATATTTACTCTCGCCTTGATTAATATTATATCACATGATTTGATATCTAAAAATAAACAAAAATTTAGAAAATACAAATATGATTTTTAAGATTCGCCGAATTCAGATCCACAATCCGTCATTAAAGGCTTCAGATCTGAGCTGGATCCGAGGATCCATCTATTTAAACACGGATCCAGATCCATACTTGGACCCGATCCGAATATTCGGATCGTGCGGAAAACTAATACAAACCCTTTTTTCAAAGGCTGTTTTCCTAATGACCTATAACCGAATTATATTATATTCATTACAAAAAGTTGAAACCGAATTTACTTACAGCTGTACTCATAAATTCTGGGGCAACTGAAAAAATTGCTGATGACCGAATCGATAAGTTTCTGAGTTTAGCCGTAGTCGGTTACTTATTGATTATGACTCGGTAACTTATTGTACGAGTCTTATGTGACAACCTGCGCTTTTTTCGTTTACTTATTGGCACGGGATTCAGACACCGTGCAATAAAATAGTTATTGTATGGGTATATTGAATACCCAGTTAAACACACGGGTCTTCGGCACGGAATATGAACCCGTGTGTAACTGGGTTATTCACCAAAACCCATAAAATAACTATAAATTATTAATTAGATATATCATATGTTAAATCAAGCGACAATTCAAACTGAAAACTGCAAGCGAGCGACGAAGTCTCCCGCCACATGTAACATTGCTAGTTATTAAATGAGTTTTGTTAAACGTTAAAGTTAATACATATTAAAAAAAATGCACAGATATGGTTATTCATTATCGGTATAATAAAATAATTATGTAAAATATTGCAAATCATAAACATACCTTGTGATCATTAATTGCATTTATTAATTGACATTATTATAAAAAATTTAAGCAAGAATGTAACGATCATGACAAAAAAAGCCAACTAAGCCAATTTTGATCGGCCGAGTTTTTTTTTTTTTTTAAATAAAAAAGTTATTAAATTTGGCAAAGAGGCTAAATTAATAATATATACATAGAAATTGATGAAAATTACTGATATCGGTTTTTTGTACATAAAAATTTGATCAGCCGATTTCATTATAGTTATGAGTTAGACTATAATCGATTATTGAGATATCATAAGGCGATGAGAGCTTATAAATAAAAATTTTTTAAGCCACAGTAACCACAGTAAGTAGGCCTATAAAGCTTTTGATAAGAGGAATATTTCATCAAAACCATCAGACAAATAAGTATATATGGAATAAAATAAAAAAGATTCCCGACTGCATTACACCCTAATAAGGAAATAACATGTGTTTATTTTTTTTGGTGTTCAAAAAAAGGATCGCTGTTTTGTTTTCACGTAGTGGAATTATTTAACATTTAAATGAATTCCGTGTCCTCCGAGAACTAAAAAACACTTGCGTAGTCACGCGAAAACTAAGTTTTTTTTTCTTTTTTAAAAAAAAGTCGATGTAACATGGAACAATATTTTTTGTAAGGGGTTGATGTATTTATCATATTAATCATTTACATCATCTTTTTTTTTTTAAATTTTTTTTTTAATTATGAAATTTAATAGACATAATGCATACGAAGCATACGAATGAAGAAAATTAAAAAAACACTTTATTTGGAAATATCTACACAAGGATTTATAATAGATCCTAAAGTCTTTTTTATTCCTTTAAGTTAATTAAATGAAAACATCATTCCGATTATAGGACCCTGAGTTTCAAAAAAAAAAGTATCAAATTACTTGAAAATCGACATATCATGTTACATGAGTGTAAATAAACTCGTCAATAAATAAGCTCATGAATTGCATTAAATGCTATTATGTAATATTATAAGTAAGTACGTTCGTATGTACATACGGACGTTACGTATGACTGTAAATTTGTTTATTAAAAAAATCTTTATTTCAAGATATGTTTATTGAATAAAGTCACTAATATTAAATTGGTACGTAAGTACAGTACAGTAAAGTACGTTCGTACGTACGTACGTACGTCGTATATACTTTAGTACTTATCAGCTATCAGTTATCATCAGTTATGAACCTAAGTACAGTACGTACGTACGTATGTATGTATGCATGCAAATATGTATGCACGCATACATATATGCCTAAATTCAAAAGTTTATTTACAAAAAGTTTACAAAGACCGGGTGTTATGTAAAAAAAATTACGTCCTTGTCTTAAAGAGTTCTAGTTAATCTTCATACAAACATATCCTGAATTAGAAAGATTTCCGAAACTACATCATACACGTAGTTTCTAGATTATCAACAATAAATTAGAAGAGTAGTTCGAACAAAATTTGTGATCACAAAGAAGGAAAGAAGAGTAATATTTTTCAAAAAAGTCGAATTCATGTCTATCAAATCATCCGCATGGAGATAACTTGACATATCAGGTTTAGGATTGTTACTCCAAATGCAAATAAAAATGTATCACGGTTGAAAAAAAAAAAAATTTGAGTGCTGCAAATAAAGGTAAAAAATTATTCCCGGTTTTCAATCTTGAATATAATAATAAAAATCTCCCGGTTTTTTTTTCGGAAATCGTAACCAATATTTCTTTTTACAAAAAAATTTACTCTAAGCCAAAAGATGTAGATCGATTTGTCCTAAATTTAATGTCCATCAATTATTTTGTTTATCAACTAAAAAGAAATAAACATTTCTCTGAAAAAGGAAGCTTTAATATAAAATGAGTTACATATAAATATACACCATTTAACAGCATAGAGCTGCAGCTAATTTTGGGATATATATAAAACCCCATTTGTGTCCGAAAAATTTTTTCCTCATTTTATATAGGTGGATACTCTTAAGATACGCCCGAACTTGGCATAATTAATTTGCCACATTTCTTTTGGCATATTACGTTTTTTTAACGAGTGTGTTTCTGTTCTATATACCTTTTAGTGTATTTTGTTATTTATTTTCACTTCTTAAGAACAAACACTTTAATTTATGCTATGTTCGGGCGGATAGATCTTTTAAACAAGCTATTTTTTAATTGGTCTTCACGAATCCTCCTTATTTGGCTCACATTATCCCAAGTCTGCAACGCAAGCCTATTACTTTATAATAAAAGTCATGAACTTATTGAAAGCTATTCTACTGTAGACTTTATGTGGATTGATACACCATCATCATTCGAAATGATTAATGGTACCATTACGATTGCCTCCTTTAGCAATAACAATTCTTGTACTTTAAATTCGGTTCCTATAAATACTGTCATACTATTGGTACCATTTAATGAAGGATTGAATTATGGTTGTTCATCTTACGCGGATATAATTGAAAAGTAAATTTTATAATAATTTGTATCTTTATTATAACAGGTAACCTTTTTTGCTAATTTAAATCTTTATCCATATCTTTCATTCTTATAATTAGTAATATATGGCTTCAAACAATAAATCAACCAGTTAATGTAAATGCCACTGTAATTTCATCACCATCTACGACACAACAATCCACGATGACAAATGAATATATCGCTACAAATTCACCCACCAAGACAAAAAATCAGGATCCTTCTATAACAATGATTGAAATATCATATGAGACGGAATCACTGGCGCGTCCAAATAAACGCGTAATCAAAGAACATATAAAGCCACGTAATATAATAAAATATTTATCACTTGATAGTCTTAATAGTCAACCACAAATAAAAGTAGTGATATTTACTTCAATGAATAATGGAGATCCGGGCATTAAGGAAAATTATGTTGGTAATTTAGAGATGCTTTCTAAAGCTGCGCCTGTCTTAACCCTAATGCGGGCAGCAGATATGACAGATGTTCACAATCTCTCGGATCAAATCTCATATGCTGTAATTATGCGAGGTATATATCATTCTTGTTTTTTTATGAATAATATTTAATTTATTTTAACTATTATTTTTATTATTATTATTATTTTTAAGATTCTGGACCTTGGATAAATTTACTCGATAGTGAAACTTTTCTGATCTGGTCAATAATATCTGGTGTATTATATGGCAGCATTTTAATAATATCAATTGGTCTTATTTCATGGGGTGTTTACAGAAGAAAATTTTCTCTTGATAATCCTAAACCATGGTTACTTTCTGGGGTTGTTATATGTGCTATTAGTAAGTATATTTAATTATTATGATAATTTATAATTATCATGATATCTATAAATTAAATTTGTACACAATAATTATTAATATAACCCTATTTTATTTAAAGTATTCCCGGTATTATTTACGTATGACCCATGGGGTATACGTTATCATAGAATTTCCGACCTAGAGTATCAAACTCTTGTTAATCTAGGTTATTTTTTTCTGTGTATTAATTACACAATATTTTTGTTTCCATGGTAAGATTACAAAAAATAAACAAACTCTTTATTTAGCATAACACAATGATAAATATATATTTTTTAATATATTTTTTAATTATCTAGGGTAAAAGCAACACTACATCTTGCTGAAGATCTTGATTATAAAGTTGTGCATGTTCGGCAAATATGCAAGATCTTTTTTATAATCATTTTATTAGACGGGCTGATCAAAATTATTTCCTTTCTTTTTTATGTCCTTGCGCATGTGTATACCATCTCGAAATTAGGACAAGCTTACATAATTGTTTATATCGTTCTGGAAACGATTTTTATTTTATTGGTGATTTGCGGGTATGCAATATTTGGAATTATAATGATATTAGCAAGAAAAAGTGATTTAGTTCCTATAGTTGAACCGAATACTCCAAGAAATAATGAACAAAATGGAAGGACTTCTCAAAGAAATAATGAGCAAATAAGGATGGTTCGGATGAATAAAAAAATTTTTGAGGTAAGTCATTACTTGGATTTATCTGAAATTAAAAGTCATAACAATAGATTAATTAATTTATTAACATTAAATATTGATTTCTAGGCTGGTGTATTAACAATGTCCTTGATACTATCCTTTCTCTTCATCACTGTTCATACATTGGTTACAGCTTTCTTAAGCCCGACAATTCTCAATTTTTGGATAACTCGTATCACTGATGACGTCTCGTTTATCATTGGATGCATCGTTCTTTTAATAACATTACATTCGGATTCTATATCAAAATATTCGCATATGACATACGCAAGTAGCCCAGAAGAGTCAAGTACAGAGAATTCACAGAATCCCTCAAGATCATCATCTAATGGCGGAGGAACAAATATACAGGATCGTCCAAGAAGAAACACTTTGGAAATTTTATTTGGAAGGAGAAGTATTGTGGGATTATGAACAAAGTAATAAGATTTTTTAAATTTCCCACTTTTACTTTTATTTGGACTTTATTTAAGAGAAGAATCCTTTACGATGGCGATGCAAAAGAAGGAATTTTTCAATGATACGTTATAATGTAATTATTGTTTAATGACGACAAAAACATATATACATATTTAATTATTATTACGTGGACAGTATATATATACCTGAACAATTATACATATAATAGGACTATTTTCTTATCCCTATAACTCATGTATTCAAATCATCATATTTTTTTTTTCACCTATTTTTCTACATGGTTTTTTTTTGTACATAATTTATACTAGCATCTTAAATGTAAATAGCTTTTTATAAAGTTTGGTTACATGTACAGAGATTTTTTGTGGATCGGATTTTTTTTTTTTTTTTGTTCATTTCGAATTCATGTAATGGTTATTTTGAAAATAAAACTTTTGAAATGATTGGAGCTAGGTATTAAAAATGATTAGCATTTGGTTTCACATTCTGACCTACACAGAATAGTACGTAATAGTAACAGTAACGGTAAGCAAAATTAATTGTGTAATTCAATTGCTATCTGTATAATCAAATGTATATCAAATGTATATCAAATATATATTTGTTTCAAAAATTATAATGTAATACTACAATAGAGTAATTATCCTATCTAAAATCCGGATATTCCCTATTTTTAAAATACATATAGAAATGAATGTCCAAATTATTAATATATGCATTTTGATATCCGAATCGAACTCTCATTTTCTTCTCTCTCGAAATCCATAATTTATCTTTTAAAGAATTTCATTATTTTTCAACTTCAAATTACTGAATTATCACGCATCAAAGCCTCAAATTTCATACGTAAATCCGGTGGGAATATAATACGTAATACGTAAAAATTATTAATATGTAGTGCAGTACGTAGTGTCAAAAATCACTCAGTATTTACATAATTTATCCTTTTCTAGTAGCGATAGATAAGCCCATAGCTTTTTGAACAGCCAAATTTCTAAAAAAGCACACAATGTCCATAATATTATGCGGATAAACCTTTTCTTCCGTAATTATATATTCCGATAAATATATAAAAGAAACTACTTTTTGAACGAAAAAAAAAATTTTGTCCTAACATTAATTTTAATGATATAAATCTTAATGAAACCTAAATAAAAATTTTAAAAAAAAATTTCAAAGAAAAACAAAGAAATTTTTGAAACTATCTAATGAACTGTGATAAGAACACGGTTGGAAGAAAAAAAAAAAGTTTCTTTAAGGCTATCAAACCGAAAAATAACATTATTATTAAAAACATTTTAATAAAATTATTATCGGTTCCTCAACCGACAAGCCATTGTTGGCACGATCTTTTTTTTTTAAAAAAAAAAATTTTTTTATATTTGAAGGGGTGCACTCCTCAACCGGCAAGCCATAGGCTTGCTTCTTCAACCGACAAGCCATAGGCGGCTTACTTCTTCAGCCGACAAGCCATAGGGCTCGTTTCTTTTTTTAAAGATTTTTTATTGATTTTTATATATTCTTTTTTCAAAGTAACTATACCAAAAATTATATAATGTATTTAAAATTTATCTGTACAAGATATTTTTCTTGTATATAGAAAAAAATGTTTTATGTACTGTATGAACATTTATGAAATATGGTTAAATAATATACCACTTTTGTTCGGTATATAATTTATCTGTCCATTGTAATGATGTGGAGTAAAATCCTCATCTTTAGCAAATTGCTAAACCATATTTTAGTTATTCAAATAGAATAAAACTTTTTTTTTTTTCTTTTAAAAAAATAAGGTTTATTTGTTCGTAAGTGTAGTGGAGGATTAATTTTATGCAAAGTGTTCTCAAAACCTCCGTTTTTAATGCACTTTTAGTATATAAATATCAAAAACGTAACTTTAATTTTCTGTCGATATTGCATATATTGCATATTTATGTAACGCAACAAATCTCGTGACTCGTATATTTTACCATCTGAATGAAACTATTTGTATCTGTATTGGCATGATGTTATGTGGAATGAGGTCTTTTTTCATTTACATGAAGGTAAGACTCTGGATCGCGCTGTTAATGTTCTGTCCTAATATTTACTGTACTTTAGAACCTTTTGTCTGGCGATCATTTTATTGCAATTTCAGAATTTAGATACCTCATCATTCTTTAAAGTAACATATTTGGACCATAGGATAATTAAATTTATTATGGTCTTGCTTTTTTTTTTTTTCTGATTCCTTTTTTCTAATTGCATTATTAATCTTTTATTTGTATACAGAATCCAGAAATCGTTTGGCCTTCCTGTCTTTCAATAACTTAGACTTTGTACAGATAGGTTTATGCATATACTGTATATCAGAATTTGGGTATCTATTGGAGTATTGTCAAATTTTATTTCAAGAGAAATAGGTACAGTCAGACCTTCCTAAGTGCAACTCGTTGGGACCAAACTTTTGATAGCATGCATTTAGAGAACCATAAGAAAAATTGCATTTAAGATTGCATTTAGAGAGGTGTTGCATTTAGGGAGTTGCATTTATGGAGGTCTGACTGTACTTGTAAACTTACTGGAGATTGCGAAACATTAGTAACAATTTGATGGTACTTTGTGCTCTTGTCCTGCAAGCCTTTTTTTCTTACTAGATTAGCTATAAGATCAGTCTTTCTTAATTGCTCTGTTTATTTTAACAATAAGTTCGGCCTTTTCTTTATTTTCTGCTTTAGCTTTATGAATCAGGTTTTATAATCTTTCATAGTTTGTTTTAACTTTGTATTCTCAGCTTTAATCTCAATATTCTTGATTTTTAAGTTCAGCTAAGTTTATCAACTTTTTTAGCTGCGAGCATAGAAATTAGTTTCTTTAACGAATCTATTGTGTATTGAGCACTATCATTGTCTTGCTTAAGGCATGAATATACAGTATTCAAAAGTTTGTTTATTCACTGTCTTTTTGTCTAGCTTATATATCTATGTATTAACATATCCATTACTGACATGAGCACAATGAATTATTCGGAGAGGTTATACAAAATTCAAATTTTTGCGTAATAACACCTCATGAGCGTTATTTCGAAATAACTGACGCCATATGTATCCCAAATAACACGCATGAATCAATATAAATTAGCCCACTGTTGTTGATTTTGGCTTCCAGTGGGAATTTCTGGCTTTCCAGTGAGAGTTTGCAATGGTAAAAACTCCAGTGATACTATTAATTTTGTTTCCAGTGGCCTTCCAGTGGTCTTCCGGCGATCTTCCAGTGACAACACTGAATTAGCTAATTACATAAATGTTTTCATGTATCAGATGATTTAGCCTTTAACGTAAATGCGCATACTTGAGATAGCGCATATATACTCAAAATAACACATTTTTCAAATTACCGTATAAACGTGTAATAACGCACATGGGCGTTATTTCGAATTTTCAATTTTTTTAAAAATGGCATAGTTAACTCAAAAATAACGCGTCCGATATGTACGTACCAGATTATCTTTCACGTTCTCTTTTGAATCTTTGAATAAATTCGAAAATACAGTAATAAGCTTAAGTTCAACCTCTAACTCTGAAACCTATTTATTAAATATGATAAAAAATATATCTAAAATTTATTCACCTTATGTTGTTGTCTTTATCTCAAAAAAACCAAGTATTTTTTTCTAGTTCTATTATGATGTCTCAAGAAAGTTCTGTGTAGTTGAAATTTTTAAAATTTTTAGCATAATGATTCGAATTATCGCGCATGCGCGTCCCGAAATAACGCGCAGGGCTCGGAATAACGCGCCCCTGCGCGTTATTACGCGCTTATACGGTATAACTTTGTCAGTACTGTATGCAGTATCATCGCATAACATAATGAAATTCTGCGGTGCCTGTCACAAAAAAAGGAAAATTCTCAGTCATAGGCCTATATTAAAGTGTATGGTTATATCTATACGAAACACGCAATCTCGCCAGTTTATTTTGCTCATTTTTGGAAGCTGACTAACTTTCTTTTTTTTCATTGAGCTCTAGAAAAGCTAACTAACTTTTTTTTTTTTTATAGAGCTCTAGAAAAGAAATGTTAAAAGTTCATATTGCCTGTCTTTGTAGTGTTGACAAATTTCTCAGAAAGGAAATCTGTGTGGGTAGTCATAGTTTGCAAGCACCGAAGTTTATTTATTGAAAATATACTGGCACAATTGAAACATTCATATATTTGAAATTTTTAAAACTCTTGGCTTCGAGTATATATGCGATCATATTAATGAACTCGGAAGGAGAATTAGATCTCCAGCAGGCATAGTTACATGCTATATTCACTTCATAAAAATAAATAAACATGTTAATGATCAAACTTATAAAGAGTCCAACCATATAGTAGATAATACAAAATATATTCATTCTATAGATCCTTGGATGTAATAATTTGTGCGGCAATTACAAAAGATTTATATGAGCTATTAGATTCATTTCGATAATACTGGTGCGAAAAGGATGCCCTTTTTAACATAAGTCCTAGAGACATCACGAATATGTCTCTTCTGAACGTTTTGAACCATTCATCTACCAATACACGAAGTGTTTCTCGATTTCTGATAACATTCCCGCCTACCAAACACACAAGGAGTTCTCGAATTTCGAGTTAGGTACTCACTTTATTACTGAACCTAAATATAAAAAATAAAAATTGAATATAAATAAATTAAACCATGTAAATAATATTTATTTTCCACAAAAAGCAGAAAATAATAAAGTACAGTATTGGACTGCCGTCAATAGAAATCAAGCAGATTACCATTTTTTAAAAAAATTAAAAAATTAATTCCTTAAGATCTAGACTTTCTTTTGAATATTAATTTATTATGATAGCCTCAAAATTCATCGAGATAAGTTGTGAAAGTTAAGCTTTCTTTTGAAAATTAATTCATCGAGATATAATTTGTGAAAGTTAAAAGTTAAGGGATTAATTTTTTAAAAAATGTCAATCTGCTTGATTTCTATTGATGGCAGCCCATTTTTCGGGATTTCGGACCTGATTAAACCCAGAGGAATCAAAATCTTGAATAATAATAATAAGTGTTATTTTCCATTTTATAATTGATAACCGCATGCTACTATTTGTTATTAAGTTTAGGGCTAAGTCATTGCTAAATGTCACGTAAAAAAAAAATCAAAATTAGTAAACGGAAATAAAGGGTTATTTCTTCTGAAAAAATAACTTAACATTATTTAGTTCAAAAAAAATAGGCAAATTTTTGAAACTTAAAAAGAAGAGGGAAAATTAAACATTGTAATAATAGTACAGTATATTATCGAATTAAAACAACACTCCCGCTTTTGGACCCAAAAAGTTATCACGTTTATCAGACCTGAATAGAAGCGATCTCTTCACTTTAGTCTGAAGAAACTTTAGTAACATACGGTAATTATATGCAGCATTTACAGTATATTGATTAAAGAGTGTATAACGCGTATTACGCATATTACGTAAAACCAGATCAGATTTTAGTTACAAACTGGAAATCCAGATGATCACAACGTCAATCAGTATAATCATGCTCTATTGACTTATTATTATATACCATTAGAAATTTTTTTTATTGATTTTCTATTCCAGTATTTCTATAAAAAGAACCAGACCAGATGGGCAAAATACAAAATTTTCATTTTAGATTGCACATGTATGCATGTAGGTTTTGACCAAAATTAGATTTAATTTCTTAATGCTGGCCAGAATTAATTGCATACTATGCATGCAATTGCGCATCTCTAACCAGGACCATATACTCAGATAATTTTACTCATAACCAAAATAATAGGTCAGGAACTATGAACCAATTTTTTATGTGGTTAAATGTCTCCAATCTTTATGATGGCAGTCCGCTATCATAACTCATTCATTACTTTTCGTTCACGCTCGAACCTTATCATTTTCACATCCATATTCCTCTCCTTTTATTAATGTTACTGACATGTTGCATAGATTATCAACATTTGGGCCGATACGACTTTTGCTGTATTATTTCCAGATTCTTTTGACCTTTAGATTCTTCAGTGGTTGATTCATTCTCAAATATAAAATCCTCTAGTCCTTTAAGGCAATTCATCTCTTTGCTTGTATTTCATCCATTAAAATATATAGATATATTGGACGGGTTCCAATTAGGTATATTAAATGTTGGCCATCTATTAAGTATCATTTTTCTTATCACGATTAAATATTAATCGACGCATCAAGAAAGACACCTTAAACAATAGGTAGTGTACACGTAGACAATTGCTAATTTGCTATTTTCGTTATTTTTACTAGCTATTTTGACTATTAATAGCTGGACACTCTGATTAGAACCATTGACGGCTTATAATATTTAAAAAAAATAAATATTTTAATAAATTTCTAATTAATTAGAGCTTGTCTTCGGATGAAGAATCTGATGATATTGAATATGATTCTGCAATTCATATGAAATAAATAATGAAAATACAATGACTTATTATACAAAAGAATTAGCGTCTTATTTGAATTTTGTCCTGAATTAAGCTTAATTCGGGCCAAATTTTGAAATTACACCTCTGCGCGTTATTTCGCGAAAATACGGTGCCTCCAATTTTAATATTCATTCTGTACCTCACTAAAATTTTAACTGAAGATCTCTTTTATACCTGGATTAGATTATATCCCAGATATATATATTCCAAAAACTTGAATCCGAATTTATTACAATCCGGATTCAAATTTCAAGATCAGGTGCAACGTAAACAATCGAAGTGAAGCCATTTTTTTACAAAAAACAGAAATAAAATGTTCATGAATTTTTACTAATAAAAACTCTATCGTCTTAACCCTAACCTACCCTAACCCAAACTACAACGTTTTATTCTCAGTAAAAATTACGGGGGCGATTTTTGTGGGTGCGCTACCTAAGTCTGGAAACACTGGGGAAGATCTCTACACTCACGTAAATCATTACACCCGCATATTAGTATATAACAAATAGATAAGTCAACAAGTTAGTTAACGGGTGACCCGCGGATTGGCCCGTTCTTATTCACCTGGATGATGATGATTTCAACCCAGATATCTTACCCATCCGGATTAGCAGTATCTGTATATGCGTAATTTATCATCTTGTTTATACTAATATTAGTCACGTGGTCGTTTTTGCTCTGGCGATGCTGGGTAGTCCTACCTGTCAACATTTTCATGAAAGATCTCTACAAATACCCAACCAAAATTTAGAAAAAATTTCTTATCAAATTTTGTCAGATAGCCGGAAAGTTTCTAAGTTTAGAAAAAAAATTCTGCTATATACAGATTCTAAACTTTGAATTCTATAAAATTTTCTTAAATGAATTCTATATTTCTTAGGATTCATTTAAAAATTTTTTCATCGAATTAGGTTCATAAAAAATTTTCATTTACAGACATTCTGGGACAATCTAAAAAGTTATATTCTCCCAAAATTTCTTAAAAATCTCAGAGAAAAATGGTTAAATAGTCTAAAATAATATCTAACTCTTTAAAAAACTATATTCTATCTTCAGAACTTCAACCTAATGGGAGAATATAGTTTTTGAGAATTAGATAAGTCTTAGAACAAGATCGAAGAAGCTTTGTGAAATAATGCATGAATATGTTGACAAGTGGGTACAAAATTACGTGGACCGGTAGGTATAAGTAGACTTACTCATTTTACTAATAGACATATCGGCCTAGTATACTTACAGATATTAACTTAAATTTCAAATTCTAGTCCTGAAATTATTCTGTAGGAAATATTTCCTTATCATCTGGACCAGATTGACCGCCTAGTTCGAGCAAAACGGATTAAATGAAATGCTGCACTGCATCAGATACTTATCTCCCTCAACTATCTTTCCCTGACAATAACTTTCCGGTTCTGCTCACTTCACCGAAAGTTCATTTAACCGACATTGTATAAGATTAGAATTTGATTAGTTGCAGATATATATTTTTAGCAAATTGTCACTTGACGTGATATCGGATAAATGAGCTGTCGGTCAAACAATTGTCAGTGAAGTAAACGAATCCCTTTCTGATACAACCATTTTTCGATGCTCACTTCCCAACATAATCATTTTCCCATACACCGTAACCGTTTTCTCGAATACTATAAGATATCTTTGGAAGATCAATTTTTGTTATAAATTTATAATTGATCCGAAGCGTAGTGGAGGGTCCTCAATTTCTATGCATTAAGTGATTAAGTGATACAAAAATTACGTTTTTGATGCTCTTCGACCAAAAAAATTACTTTTCTGATGTATCCGCATAAGATCATATCAGAAACGTAAACTTAAAATTTTTTATCTGTTAATTTAGTGTAATTATTCACGCATTTGTGTATTAAGATAATTATCATATATGCTCCGGATCTATAATGCTATGCATTTTCCTAGTCATAAGAAAACACAAACTTTAAAGAGTTATACTACAAAATTTTATCAATACAACTGCTTTTATGTTTTAACCCACATAAAATTTTATAGCCAAAATGGTTACTTTATAGGTATGTATCATTAATAAATTAAGTTCAGCGCTGCAACGCATTCATTTTTATTGAATAACACAAAATTCTCACATCTATCAGCTATAAATGATATTAAAAGAATATTTACAAAACAAAAATAAAACTACTTGAAAATACATATTAAATTCTTTGGTAGAAATCATTATTGGTTGTATACAAGTTAAAGAAAATTTATAAATTCTATTTACTTCATGATTTTCGTCTTAGACTTTTTAATTACAAGAAGATAAAACGTTTGCGTTTACGTTTATCTTCATCGCGTTTATCTTCATCGCGTTTATCTTCATCGCGTTTATCTTCATCGCGTTTATCTTCATCGCGTTTATCTTCATCACGTTTATCTTCATCGCGTTTATCTTCATCGCGTTTATCTTCATCGCGTTTTAATTTACGGCGTTTATCTTCATCGCGTTTTAATTTACGGCGTTTATCTTCATCGCGTTTATCTTCATCGCGTTTATCTTCATCACGTTTATCTTCATCGCGTTTATCATCACGTTTATCTTCATCACGTTTATCTTCATCGCGTTTATCTTCATAGCGTTTTAATTTACGGCGTTTATCTTCATCGCGTTTATCTTCATCGCGTTTATCTTCATCACGTTTATCTTCATCACGTTTATCTTCATCACGTTTATCTTCATCGCGTTTATATTCATCGCGTTTATATTCATCGCGTTTATCTTCATCGCGTTTATATTCATCGCGTTTATCTTCATCACGTTTATATTCATCGCGTTTATCTTCATCGCGTTTATCTTCATCGCGTTTTATCTACTTCATGGCGTTTATCTTCATCGCGTTTATCTACTTCATGGCGTTTATCTACTTCATGGCGTTTATCTTCATTATGACGTTTAGAGTAATAAGGCTCGGCACTGCGTTTGGCTAAAGCACGTCTGAAGAAACTACGTTTGCCTTCATGAGGTTCTATATATTAAATTCAAACACAGGTGAATCAGAAGTGTTCATCGCACAATCACTCTGTAAATTATTATTACCGGAGATCACAACCGAAGCCAACAGAGTCGTGACAATAATAATTTGGGTAAACTTCATTCTTAATTATCTGTATTTTTTGTAATTTATTTAATATTAATAATATTTAATTATAATTATTATAACCATAATTTTATTATTATTATTATTTATTCTTTTTTTTTTTTTTTTTAGCTTACCGTCTTTTTGTCTTCTTAAAGTTCGTGATTTGAATTGTGAAAAAGTAAGGAATTATCGGAGGGTTTATATAGTTTGTTTTTAGAAATATTAAAAGGTATTAAAAAGTCTACGTAAGTTTAATTACGTTTATCAGATTATTAGAAAACCAAAACAAAAACATTAAGTATAAATTATAACAAAATGCTTAGCATTAAACAATGTTGTGGCTTCAAAAAAAATAAATAAATAAATGAATAATAACAGATTAGAATATATTATACAAAAAAAAAAAAACTGTTAGCAAGTTCAAGATTCTTTTACTCTCATCATTATTAATTCATCTACAAATAAAAGTTCTTAAATATGGCGCTATAGTTGTTAGACGAAACCTTTTTCGCATGATGACGAAAGACGAAACATTTGACGAAAGTCGAAGCCCCAAATTCTTCTGACGAAACGACGAAACCTTACACTCAAAAAGACAAAACCCTAGTGCTCACGCTAAAAAAAATATTATTTTCATTGAATTAACATTAATAATTATTCAGAGATCAGTATTCGAAATTACGTGCATGCCAGCAAAAACAAATCAATTCATTTTTTCTGGACAACGTTAGGGTTGTTATAAACTGGTTGAAATAACCTTGTAAAAGCCATAGTACCATGGAATAACACAAATAATGAATTAATACTGGCACAAAATAATTCGTAAGATCACAAAGTAAGCACCAAGCGATTTCTCACTAGAACTGATATGTAGTGTACTAGTATATTACAATATATCTAACTCCCTCTAAACAATTCAAGCGCCTATTATACAATAAAACTTTTATAAATTTCTGTTTTTGTTAGTTTATTTTTTATACACAATTTTCAGCAACATTTATTTGTATATTCGTCTTTTATTAGTTTTGTCACTCTTTATAGTTTCGTCAGCGCGAAACCTTGAGGTTTCGTCTAATGGCGCAATCGTATAAAGTGATACTCGTCTTCAGATATAGCGTGTTTTGTTTATTTGTTATATGATAAACTTTAAGTGTGAATAAAATATTCTTTTACCGTTACCACAGAAGTTTAAACATATAATTCTTTTTTTAGAAACAAAAGAATCCTTTAAAAAAAGGAAAACCACCCGAAAGAAACCAGTTAATTATTAAGCCTCCATTAGACAAAATTAAAAAACGTCTTTGAATTCTAAAGGTCTTTTTTATTACAAATTCAAACAGTATCTGGAAAATATGTACCAGGTTGGTGCGTCACAGTGATTAAATGATATAACGCAACCAATAATAACTAGTTGCTAACGATAATATATAAAAGAATATATTATATAAAAATATTTAATCTATTAATGAATTATATTTTTCTTTTTTTCGATCTTTCATATAATTTTTCTTCGTTATACTAAAAAAACTAAATATTGACTTCAATCCATAAGCCTAGATTTTTGTACTATATTAACGATAATTATTATGAAAATTTGAGCTTCCGTGATTAAACTTGCTTCAACGAGAGTTGTTACTTATTTTACGTACAGTAAAAATAACAATATAACGAAAACGATTTATTAACATACAAGAATCTAGATCTTCGGAGAATCTAGATCTTATCCAGCCACCATGGCGTATCAACCTGGTCCCCATCTTCCGAATGACTATTCCGTTTCTTACGCAGATATTTAAACAAATATGAATTAGATCAGATCGTATTACAGATATCTGATACAGTATATAAAATTTTAAAATAATGATAGTGTAAAATAATAATAATAATAATATACAGTATATGTGTTATATACAGTATTAAATAACATTATATTCTGGGAAAATTCGAGTTCTCTTTGATGTCATTATGTTTCAGGCATCATTAGATAAACATTCAGTTGAAGTGGATGTTACTGGTACGGCAAGATAAAGTTTTTCTAATTTAGATAGTACTAAAAATTTCTGAAATGATTGATTAAAACGGAGATCAGATAATTCGACGAATAGTCTATCTGAGTTATTAATGTTAATGTATAGGATCGGATAATTAGCCGGATAATTAAGATTTTATTAAGAATACAGATCAAGATCACTACTCTATTGTGGCTTATTATTTGTCGATGACGTTGCTTAAATTGGATTTTTACGATTATAACTACGTATCGGTATATCTTTGATCATATTTTTTTAATCGATATATATACTGTATATACTCTGAATGGATAAATTGTGTTAAAATAATAAATTGAAACATAGTTATTAATAGAATAGCTCAAAATTCAATAACAAATTAACAAATCAATCTAAACGCGAGGCTTTCCAATGTATACCAATATTTGTTTCGTAAGATAAATAAATAATTACGTTTATTTAGTTTTAAAATAAACAAATTAATACGGTTCGATTCATTTACACTTGGCTTAGTATTAGAGAAAAAAAATATTTGTAAGGCTTTTTCACTTGCTCACATTTTTTTCTACAAAATATTTACTTCTAGAAATCTTTTATTTCATCTTCGTAATAGATACACGATTAGTGTTTGTACCCGATTCAGCCTTTACCTGAAAATTATGTTCTCAACACAGCCATTCCCCACTCAAAATTATTCTACAAAGTCATGTTTTTATAAATAATAATAAATAAAAAATAATTAATTGGAAAATTAAAAGTTTAAAAGGTTAGAATGCCTTAGCCTCACACAACATGATAAACGACCCATTGCCACTCAATCTAAACTAAATAATAAATTGATTGATTATCTAGAATACGTTTCTCTAACCTAATGTACTACTATTGAATTTAGATGATGTGACAATAAATAATTTACCATCTCGGGTAAGTTCAAAAACCCATTTCAAATACTTTTTTACAACATGCGCGGATCTCGCGCAAAGTCCATCCATCAATCCTATTAGCTATAGAAATTATTGTATTTTCCCACGTACGTACGTACGTATCCATAACCTTAAAAAAAAAGAGGTTAACTATATAAACTACAAAGTCTTTATATTCCGTTAAAGAATAGTAATTTTGGATGTCATTTATTAAATATTCGTTAAAGAATAATAATTTGATTATCATTCATGATCTGTAGTGAAAAACTATTTGGGTCGACCCAAACAGTTTGATAATTAATCTTGCACGGTTTTGACAAGTATATAGTAAAATATATATTGTAAAAACCAATGTGATATTAACTATCACATATACCAATTCTTTTAATATACTGCTAAATCCAAATCTTGGCTAGATCGAAACTGAATATGCAGTACCCTGCATCGTTATCAAAATCAACTGCGGAGATATAAGATGTTTCACGCTATACTTGGTCATGTAATTGTTTTTTTGACTTGGTCAAAGTGAGAAACTTTGATTATTGTTATGTGAGCATGATAGTGATGCTAACGATTTTATCAATCTTTTGTGCAACTACGTAATATGGTTACGTGTGTGTGTAGAAAATGAATTCGTTTTTAATCCATGTTTTTTTTTTCACGTAATACGCGTACAACCGGGCAGAAAATTATTTTTTGAAATTTTTGTATAACTTGAAGAAAAATTTAGTACCCGAGATATACCTTGTTGAGTGTCTAAATATTCAGAATTTCGTGCTTTAACTACCTATTAAATTGGTTTTTTTTATTTATATGTAAAAAAAATTTCATCCGCTATTCTGAATAATCCATTGATGTTCGAATGTAATAATTAAGCCAATCGAATCATTAAATTATTGTAGAATGAAATTCTATGATACAGTTTAAGGAATCACAAAATATAGCATTGATTCACGACTAAAGTTTTTTTATAGTACGAAAACAGAAAGTGTAAATAAAACGGTTTTAATTATTAACATACATAAATTACACAAAAAAATCAATGAATATTGATATATCGATATGTAAAAGTGTTCTCAAATATGATATCAACAAATTTGTTCAAATTCTTGTTCATTAACAAGAATTCGTTTTTGATCACGTGGAGCAACGTGTGTTGACATACGGCCAACGATTTTCATTTTCACAACGTGTATAACTTTGATGGGAGGTGGTAAACCAACAGCTAAGGAAATTCCAGTTCGCAAAATGCAATCCAAAGCATTACCAATAGGTGAATAATTTAACTCATCACTAAAACAAAATGTTACCAGATAAAGGGTAAGGTACATTATTGATAGAACTCCCGTGATTGTCATGTACCATGTACCAACTGCAGCGGATTGTGCATTTATATGACATTTTTGAGTGGCTGTTTTACTTATATGAACGGTGAGAACTGGTAGGAAGGCATACAGAAATGAAGAAGTGATGGTTGAAACTCCTAAGATTAACTAAAAGAAGACTCTGATTAATTTCTTTTGTTTTTGTTTTTTTTGTTAATGCATTGATGAAAATTTTTGCGCATAAATCAATAATTGGTGGTGCTTGGCATTGTATAACATGTATAGCATGTATAACGTATACGTATAACGTACGTAGTATTAACTTTAACTGTTAACCAATATTAATTTACGAAAGTTTATATTTACAAACCTGAGAAAGAAATAAAGGAAATTCTGGACGGTCCAGCTGTTCAATACTTATCAATACGGCATCTACTATATTTACAGAATCAAAAATGAACAACTGAAAAATAGTTGACTTAAACAGCATAGTATTCCACCGGTGTTCTCCATAAAATTTTCGGCCCATGTCTAGCATACATACGACCAAAATTGTTGTGTAGGTCGCTCTTACGAGCGCAAATATGAACCAATACGTTACTAGCCCCATCAAGGGAGCGTTTAGATCTCGGACGAAATTACACACGCTGATAATAAATATAGTTATAATAGATACAAGACTATTTATAAGTTAAAAAAAAAATAATAATAAAGATCATAATTAAAATATGTTTTAATAATCGAATTGAGAAGAAAAAAAATAAATGAAGTCGTTTCTTTTTCTTACCATGCAAGGCGTAATTTTGTAAAGTTGTTTATGCATTGATAAAGCATGAACCCTGACGACACGGAGGTGAATCCTATACAAAAAGCAAGGAAACTAATTTCAAAAATTGATGCCATGACAATATTCTTGATATGTAAAAATCTGATAATAAAACAATTAAGGGATAAAAGAGCGTGAGAGCTATATATATGTGAAAAGGTATCCAGTAAAAAAAAAGGGAGTACGTGATAAAGAAATTTTTTAAAATACAATATATATATATATTATATATATATATATCAAAACGATTGAGAATTAAATCGGTACGTTAAAAGTTGACCATCCTCGGTTTTATTTACGAGCCAATAATAGGACGGTGAAAAAATCTAGAGTTCGTCAGAGAAAAAAAAAAAAAGAAATATTAGCTCCCGATCAATGAAGTATATATATCGTGCAATGCTTTCATTTACTGTAGTCACAGCATTTACATTTGAGTCATTTTAAAGTGATTGTTCAATAGAATAATCCTGAATTATCGCTCTGTACTTCCTGTATCTATAACATGCATGGATTATTTTGTTATTTGATGAACAACGAATAAAATTACATCCCATGACACTTGGATCTTTTAGACAATTTTTTTTTGTTTAATATAAATAATAATTATCATATTTATGAAATAGAGCTAACAAACACGATCACAAAAATTACTAGTTTTCTTGACTTAATTAATAACTTCACGTGTGTATACAATATTACAATTACAATATATACTTTAATTATTATTAATATGATTGATTGACAAACATAATACAAAAGTTTCAAATATATTATCAATAATATTATATCAAAATCGGAGAATATATTCATTTAGAAAAGAATTTTATTTAATAATCTGCTCTTAAATAAAATTTATTTAAAAAATAAATAAATAAGATACGTTGTATATAGTGTCTCGAACAGAATTACAAAATATATACTATAGAATTAGCATTCACGATACTTCTACGTATTTTTTGTGTTACATATTGGTCGGTTACGCCCAGCATATAATCGAAAATGAAAATGATTTATACTGATCATAAGGATATCCTCGAATTCAATTTAAGAAATTGGAAGGTCGCTTACGTATAATTACTTCTAATATTGCGCATTGCGTCTCTTAATATTAAAGTCTTATACGGTTTAAAAGGACTATAATTTCTATTTACAAACATAACGTTTCAGATAAAATGTATAAACAAATAAATATACCATTCTTTAGAGAAAATCTTCAGGATCAATATTTATTGACTACACTTTATTTAGTATTTTGTTCATCAAAAAACCATCTATATAAGCTTTAGATCATATAAAATTGCATCGCAGTTTTGTAATTACATCAATAATTGCATCACAGTGTTATAATTGTCATTGAGGCTTTCTTTTTTGTTTCTTTATTTGTTAATAAAAATTTTCAATCATCTTAATAATTACAAACATTAATAACTAACTGGCTACGTAGATTTATATTCCACGTTTTGTACATTGGAAAAGTCCAGTGGATCAAAACGTTTTGTAGCTGTCTAGAACTTTAACCTATATACGTTAACAATTTAAAGTTTTTTTTTTTTTATTAAATAAAATAACTATATATCAAATATTATATAGTTTATTGAATTAAAAACGTGTCTATTCGCAGCCTAATTGAATCTCCGACTTATTGACTAAAATTAGTGGACACACCCCTATTAATTAATCTAGACTAGTCTAAAAAGTACACCTATTTTTAGAAATAGAAAGGTTCTACGTATTGTACTATAATTTTTTATAATCTTAAATATATATACAGTATATACGGTATATTTTAATACGTATTGGACGTTATTACATATTATTGATATCAAGATTTGTCAAGACATTAATCTTTCGTAAATTTGCTAGCTGTTGTTCTTGACCGAATTCGTTGGGTTAAATTTAATTAAATAGGTTAATTGTTTATAATTATATAATATACGTATACAGTATTAATTTAACTAATACGTATTAAACAGGTTAATTGAGTTAAAATGATCAAATTAATGATCAGGTTATTGAGTTAAAATGATTCGATTAATGATCAGGTTAGAGGTTAAAATGATCAGGCTAGAGTTTAAATGATCAGGTTAGAGTTTAAATGAGTTTGACTACTAACAAGTTTACGTAAATTTTAATCTTATTTTAGATTTTAAATATATATTAAATTAGTTATTTTAATTTTTTAACTTTGCTAAAGATATTTTTAAAATCAGAAATTTTTATTAATATTATTTAGTTCAAAAATATTTCTAGAGGTTTTTTATAAATAAATATACAATTACAACTTTAGTTATATCTTTAACCAATTTGATAATTATTATTTAAATTTTTGATTTGTAAATTTATATTAATTTTTTTAAAATTTATATCTTTATTCTTGTTATTACAATATATTTATATAATAAATTTGTATAATAAAATATTTAAAATTTTAAAATTTTTTACCTATTTTAATTATAAATTTTTGTTGTTATACTGTATAAATGGTATTAAAAATCAAAAAAAATATAAAATATAAAGAAAATTTCCAAGCCTACACTAGTGTGTACACACAGGGTATTGATTTATTGAATTGCAAATCCGGGCAACATAAAAAAAAAACTACTTAATATTAGAGTTAGGGTTAGGGTTAAAGAGTATTTTATACTAAAATTTTGCGTAGATTATTTTTTGTTAGAACCCCAAAGTAGTTTCATAAGCAAAATTTTGAGTAATAATGATATCCTGTGTGTACACACTAGTGTACAAATGGTAATTCTCAAATATAAAATACTTATAATTTTAACTATATATAGTATATTAAAAATAAATTATAGTTTTTTTAAAAAAGCTAATTAGATTAAAAAATAAAATTGCATTCAAGTATTAAAATATGCTATAAAATATGCTATAAAATACAGTAAAATAAATACTAAATTTTAATAAATTTTGCAAAAACTAAAAAAAAACAATAATATGTATAAAATATAAACCACTTTAATATTTAGAAGATTATGTAATAAAATATAAAATTTCATGGCAAACCCATAAAATATACAAATAGTTAGAAAACCATTATAATTGCGGCGATTGAAAGACTGTTTTTAGGACCGGACCAAATAACACTAGTTGATTAGGACCGGATTGGACCGGGCCGGAAAACAACGATATGATTCAGCTGTTTTCAAAAAATTGTCGATGACCAACTCGGTTATTTATTGATTCCGACTCGGTAACTTATCGATTCGGTCATCGTCAATTTTTTCAGTTCCAAAAAACAGCTGTAACAAAAATTAATCTTATGCTATAAATCCAATTGGATGTTTTGAAAATTAAATTTAAATCTAATACTGTAAATTAATTGTAACAAATATCAAAATACCTATATAGTTGAACACGTGAGTTAAATCTATGAATAATTTTAGAGACTAACATTGTTTTTTTTTTTTATAAAAAAATAAATAAACTTATTATTTTTATATAAATAAGCTTATTATTTTTATATAAATAAAAATTAGTAGCCATTTCACATAATCAAATTTCGGTATATAATTTTGATTACAATATAAACATCGGATATACAGATATAGTAATTTGTTTATACTCCAAGTTATACGTATAAAGCCTTCAAGATTGATAATATTATGGTATATACATAATAATAATGTACTCAAAAACATATCGATAGCAATAAAAAACTTAATTTATTTTGTGGATCTGTTTAAATTCAAGCATCTATTCTGATACACATCAACATTTTCAGTCCACATGCTTAAGGCTTTTTTTTGGGAAGTTAATTTTTAAAATAACGAAATGTAATTTATAAATCAAATAAATAAATTTGATATGAACAAGAATCGGTTAAATATTTATTTATGAAATACGTAATTTTCTATTGTCTTTTTGTTTTTTTGTTTAACAAACAATGTTTCACGAGAACTTGAACCATAATTATGTAATTGTCATATGTTTACTTTCCCCATAAAAAATGTATGTTTGTATTGTTTCTTGAATATCTTTTTATGTAACTTTTTTTAATAAAATTTTTTAGAATTCGATATTCGGAATAATCCAGAAATTGATAATATTGTTCATATGATATAATAGTAATAATCAATAGCTTTATTTTAATGACTACAGTATAAATTTTTATTAATTGAAAGAAAATTAAACATTCCCAATACTTAAATCATTCTATGCATAACAGATAAATAACATACGTACGTACGCATATGTACGTATTGGTATGTATGTACGTACGTACGTACATGTATTTATTGCCATTATTCGGAAGAAAAATTTTTATGTAGTAAAGAAACGGACGATCTAATATACATTAAACTGAAATATATTATGATTCAGTTTATAAGTGAACAATAAATAAAAAATATCTATACTATGAAATTCTATTATATAAAGTGCACGAATAAAATAAATAATACAGTAAATATACAATAAATGAGTAACGGGAAAATATTTTCACCGAATTAGTCCATCTAACTTGAATGCAGACTTGGTTATTTTTTTTTTATTATTGAGTGGAGTGTTAAACACTTTCCAGAATCGTAAAGTATTATCATCACCACCAGCACCAGTTACAATATCTTCACCATTAGGGGATAAAGAGAAATAAAGCACGCGATAATTATGCCCTTTTAAAGTTGCAATCTTTTCCATTGACGGATACTGCCAAACGACGACATCATTTTTCCACCATCCATGAGTTGAGACAATTTCATTCGCCGTAGGTGACCATTGCAGGTTACACACCTTTTATAAGGCTAAAGATTAGTTAAACAGAATATAAAAATTATAAGAAAAAAATATTGAAAAAAAAAAATACCTGCGATTTAACATTATAACTTGCTAAACATCTTGAATCCAATGTATTCCAGAAACGAATTTGCCGATCTAAATGACCACCTCCGCTCACTAATAAATTTCTGGAGTGAGGGCTCCATGAGAGAGCGCGAACAGCAGCTTTATGACCGTCAAGTTTTCTAATTGGAGATAAATTCAAGCCTTCCCAGATAAATAATTCGTTGGCATTGCCACCACTTGCTAATTGATTTCCTTCATTATTCCATTTCAATCCACATATCTATTCATATAATAATATTAATAAATAATTAATCTAATTTTTAGAATAATTTATAATTAGATAATTGCTTACCTCAGATTTATGATCGGTTAAAACGCGAATAATATCATAAGGACTTCTTGGATCTCTATGGAATATACAACGGTCGGCACTACCGGTGGTTAATAAATTTCCATTCCAAGAAAGAGTTCCTAGGAGTATAAAAGACCAAATTAAAAATATTGAACATGAAACGAAAATCTATATATATAATAAAGCTTATTTACTTACCAACTCGTGAATTATGCGAAGTGCAATCGCGGATTTTCATCAATTTTTGTGTATCCCAAATTTGAAGTTTGCCTTCCGCTGTGCCAATTGCGAGTTGAGAACCCTAGTAATTTAAATTATAAAGTTACAAAATGTTTATACAAAATATTTTGAATACATTAATTGTTATATTATTACCTGAGGATGCCATTTAACTGAAGAAACAGAAGATATTAAGCCCAAATCGCATAATTTTGCCATCTATAAATAAATAAATAAATAAAAATTAAAAAATCAATAGAGTAATAAAGTCACGAAGCTTTAATAAGATTGCAAACCTTTGATGTTCCAGTATTCCACAAATAAGCGCAATTTTCAAGTCCCAAGCTTAAAATATTTGAAGTAGACCAATCTACAACGTTCAAGTAAAAATCGTCCTAAAGGCAAAAATAAGGGTAAATAACAAGTATTAAAAAACAAAATATGGATGCCGATATCAAAAAAATGTATATACTTTAAGCATCAATTCATTGCAAAACGCGAGCATTTGATATGGCAATGGATTAATTATTCTGGTAGGTTTACGAGGTTTTGTCATTAAATCCTCTACTTGTCGCGAAAATGGAGTTGTGGAATATACATTTCTAAATGGCGTATCTAAAATACCACGACATTTTGGTGATGTCGAATGAAATTTGAGGAATTTTTGTTTCGATTTTACCGAGTAAGTATCGATATAACTAACTATATCGTCATTAGAATTTGGAGGAGGAAACATCGCCCTTTGAATTATAATTTTGTGAAAACAGTTATCTAAAAAATAAACAAATAAACAAATTAAATAAATAAATAAAATAAACTGAAATTCATTTCAAATCACAAACTGAATATAATTATAAACAAAATATGAATTTCTTTTCACCTTCTGGCTCTTCCCTCTTCCTCTTTTGTGATTTTTCTTCTGTAGACGTTGTAGGTCGTCTTTGAAATTCGGATATCATATCACCGGTTCTAACAGGAATGAATCTATATAATTATAATATATTACATATAATTATGTTCAATCGCGTTTAAAATTTTCGCATTTAAAAATAACGCCGATTATTTTCACAGCTTTTTTATGTATTTCCAAATTTACCTATCTCCATATGATACTTCATTATTATCCTTTGCACTATTACTATTTTCGTTAGTCCCCCAAGATGTTACACTAGTTGACGAGCAGCCTGAAGTGAATTTAAGCAATGACCTTCCTGAAAGTGAAAAGTTCGTAGAAGTTTCAGCCGAAGGCATGTTATTCGAAAAGTTTGGGAGTAATTTATGCGATTTATTTTCAAGATGAGACATATTTTCTTTGTATATGTTGTTGTTGTTTTTTTTTTTTTAGTACGAATGCGAATATTATTTATAGTTAAAATGAAAAATAAGAAGGATGTTTCTGATAGAGTGTAAGAGAATTATGCCTGCTTAAAAACAATTGTTTTGTCGGTAAATAAGCTTTTTGTTTTGATTAAGTCTGAATGTTCAATTCATTGAATTTTAATAATTGAGTCCGAAATAAACTGTCAAATAGCAAAATAAACATGCATTTTGAGTCTTAAACTTTAATTTTTTATATTTAGTGTGCAAAATTTGGTGTGAATCTCGTCGGAGAAAGATTTCTCTTAAATCAAGCATGAATATTACGTATCGTATAAACACGTAATAACGCGTTATTTCGGAACGCGTATGTAGTGTTTGGACTTGAGTCAACCCGTGGCCTAAAAATCATAGTATTAACTCGAGTCAAGACTATATTTTTTAAGCTACGATCGACTCGAGTCCAAACACTACGCGTACGCACGATAATTCAAATTATTATACTAATTTTAGGGGAAAAAAATTACAACTAGTAAGAACTTTACTGCGACTTTGTTTACTATGATATACATGTGTGGCGCGTTATTTAGCACGCGTATGTGCGTCCAATATTCCCTTTTTTTAAAAAAATGGAAATTTCAAAATAACACCCATGTGCGCTTATGGTAAAGATGTGATTTACTTTCAAGAATTTTACACGGACATTATTCATAATGAAATATATATATATAATATTTACTATTTTTTTAAAGCTGATATTACATGTAAGTATATATATCCTTATTTAATATTTCTTTACTATTTCTTTTCTATTTCCATTAACTCAGTCTGCATGTTAGTTGCTAAGTCCATAACTTGCGCAACAATTTTTCTGTTTTCGAATCCATCTCCATGTGTAATTTCTAACGCTTTCTTCGTTGCTTTTATTATTTCATAGGATTCAACAGCTTTATCTTTATCTTTATGAGCATCGTTCCACATACACTTTGCTAAACTAAATAAATGTAATCCAATAATTGGATGAAATCTTGGATATATTAAAAGATAAATAGCAAGAATATAACGACCTAAAATCCATGATTCTCGCCATTGTTGTAAATCGATACGATCATAAAAATGTTTTGTGGCTGAAGAAAGTGATGATGTAGTAAAAAGGTTTTGATGTGTAGTGGTTGTGTGTATTTTGTTGAAAAGTACTTCCAAGGTTTGTATGTAATCTGATTTTAACGTTTCTTCTGCTAAATGCGGTAAAAGTGAGATAATAATGTTCGAAATAAGAGAAGAAATTGAATCGTTTGTTGTCGGATTTTGTTGCATTTGAGAAATCAATAAATCCTCTATGATTTTTTCATTTGCTTCTCCATTTTCTCTTATCTCAGTTAATCGTTCAATATTTACTAATACTTTTCTTTCTTCTTCTGTTATATCTATACTAACATCATTTGAACTACACCTTGAGCATTGACATTTGAAAAAATATTTTTCACTCAACAATTTTTGTCTAGACGTTCGACTCATTGCCACATCAACATAAGATATTGTTATTTCTTCACCAGCCTTGATATTTTCAATGCTTCTAAGTATTTGTGGACCACTACTGATTTGTTGTCCAATTGAATACATCATTATGGCATTCGGGCGACAAGAGTGATTGATTAAAGATCCAATAGGGTAACTGCCAAAGAAAAAAAAAAAAACAAGGAAATCAAGTTAAAGAAATATCATTTTTATGAACTTATAAAAAAAAATTAATAATAATCTAAAAGACAGAGTAAAGGATACGTTCCTTCGCCAAAAGAAAATAGCTGACTATCATCCAAATTAAAATTATTACAAGAAAATTTACATAAATATGTTATCAATTCGTCTTGTGTGATATTTTGTAAATCCAAATCAGAAAAGACATTTTTTGCAATAGTTTTAAATTTTTCTAATTGTTCTGGTGTCCGTTTTTCACGATGTGACATTAATGTTAAAAATGTTTCACAATTAATCTTTTCGTTTAAATCTATCAATGATATTTTTTCAGCTTCATAATATGATTTTTTTTTCATATATTTATCTAATCTTAATGCTACTCGTCTTAACATTTCTTCGTCCATATAATCACTATCTAAAGTTTTATTCTCTTCCTTTTTATATATAGGGCATAAAATTTTGTGATGTGCTGACCATGCAAGTTTTTGACATTTTACATTACAATAAAACGCTTTATGGCATCTAGAACACCTTTTTAATGACTCGATTGGAATTTCTAAACAATTATCACAACGAGTATTGACCATGGATAGAATTGGAAAACATGCAAGAGATGGGGATGTAATTATGGTAGAACCTTTGGGAATATGTTTAAGCGTTTTAAGAATACGGTATTTCGTAGGGCTTTCCTCGAGGGTTAGCCCGTGGAGTGTAAGAAATTCTGATAGGCATTGCATGTTCAAAAATTATCATGATGGAATTTTGTCTTATTTCAATATTTCGAATTACAGCATATGGTAACACAAATTCACGTTTTTAAGACTGATTGGACCAAATTCTGATCATATAAATTTTATATTATAAAAACTTAAAGTAGAACTAAATAACTGTTTTTTCTTTTTGCTAACCCACTTGCACATGAAGGCGCCATGTGGCGCCATTTATATTGTAGATTTATTATAAAAAAAAAAACTCTATACTCAATAAAGAATTTTTTACTAGATTTTACAATAAAGAAACCTGGTAAGAAATAACCTTTTTCTAAATTTTACAAAAAATTAAATAAAGATATTTAACAAAAAAAAATCAAATCAAATCTTAAAAAAAACTTGTTAAAATACAAATTAAAAGTTGGGCGGCATCCATAATTTACGTTAAAAACGGTATTGTTATAGAAATCTTTTCTATTTCTATACAATACAGTACTAGTTTATCGTAAATTATGGGATGCTATATATCAGGTTAATAGTTAAAAAAAGAATTATTATTAATTAAAAATAAGAATTATAGTTAGGGTATTAAAGTTAAAATTAAAAGTGTATTTATTTGCAAATTTAAATTTTAAAAACTTTTAATTAAAAGCTTAGTATTAGGCATGCAAAATTGGTCCGGCCGGATCAAAATTTGAAAATATCAAAAAAAAATTTTTGTAAGTTATGTTTTAATAATCGGGTGGATTTAAAAAAAAAAAAAATTTATATAAATTTTATAAAATTTTATGCGCAAATTACTATGTTTTTTATATAGTTTTGAAAGTTTTTTTTTTCTCATTTATTAAGAAAATTCTATAGTTACAAAATCTAAAATATAAATATTTTACAAGTTACTAAACCAATTTTAATAATTTTTTTACAATATATGTAAAACTATTTCTCTATACATTTTGCTAGAAATCAAATGTATATTAGCTTAATAAAAAATATAGTTAGCTATAAAAGAAATAAAGATTTCATAATTATAATAGTAATTTGCACATATGAAATACTATCTATTGGGTTAGGGTCCTGTAGCCTAGTGGTCTAGACACCTAACCCTCCACAGACAAGGTTGACGGTTTAATTACAGCTGGTGGTAATTAATTTAATTAATTATCTCTGTAACCTTCGGGGGCTTTTGAATGTGAAACTCTGTGGTGGTAAGACCATGTGAAGTACATATTTGGCCGATAAAGAATTCTTGGAAGGAGTCCCAAGCCATAGAGAAGATCAGGCACTACATGTAACATGGGTTACAGAAGGTAATACTGCAGAAGGCTGTGCATGTGAATCCACAATTGGCAAAGTAGCATCAACAATCCTAAGGCGGCATTGGGATATTGATTGGGAGGACAGCTGTATGCAATATAACCAGAAGTGGTGAGAGAAGTGGTGAACATAGTAAGGGGCTCTGATAAGAGAATGTCTTTACCAAATATGAAACACCTCTGGTACAAGAAAACAAGGAAAACTGGCTAAAAAAAAACCCAAAAAGCATGGAAGCAAGCGCTCCGGTAGTATGAAAATAAAGTCGGCCAGTGAGTAATGTGTTGCATAACCTATATGGGAGTCATAGAAGCATAACGAAACATGGCAAAAGCACGGGTCCTGGGTTACTGGCTTGTAACAGTAATTAAATGAGGTACTTAACTCCCATTCTAAGGATCTAGACTTCTGTAATACCATACCAATAGGGAGTACTATAAAAGGAGCAGTAGCCTAATTTGGTAGTATATGATGTGAATATCTGGAACCATGCGAACAGCTCTCCTAATAGTGGCAGCAGGTGGCTTGAGATATGGGTCTTCAGATGGTAGCAGCACCTGGCTTGAGATACAGATTAGAAACTGAAGTAACATCTCAAAGGACACCAAAATAGATGCAAGAAGAGCGCTCACTTCTAGAACACCAATTTGGAAGTTATACAAGAAACAAATTAGAAGTAATATAATAAGTAATGAGAGGTGGATTATAACTGGTAGATATTGTATAGTAGTATATATAGCAGAGTATATACGAATTAGTAAAAAATATTAAGGTTCTGAGTTAAATCAAAATTTAGGGTGCTTCTTGATAGAGGTTACCTGAGGATGTCCATCTCACATATAAGATGGTGCAGACAGTTGCATCTGGGCACCATATAGGATAGCCGGATAAGGTTATAACGACTACTTAGATAAATTAAAATGTATATGATATATGTAATGTTTGGTTAAATAAATAATAAAGTTAATGACAAAATCGTTGAAGATAGAAAAAAAAAAAATACTATCTATCTTAGATGAATTAGCAATTGATTTTTTTTCTAATTTTTCTTAATTTTTTGTTCCATTTTTGTTATACAAGATCCTATAATCTAATTGGTTATTTATATTAACCTGCTATATTTAACAAAATTTTTTAAAAATTTGTAAATAATTTTTTTAATTAAAATTTTTTTCTAAACTTAACTATTTTTAGTATATAAGCAATCTAAACTTTTTTTATATTATAAAAATTAATTTTGCAAAAAAGTAATCTTTATTTTCAAATATAATTATACAAAGTTTTATTTAATATTTTAATTTTAAAAAAGTAAATCAAAGCTAAAAAAGTGTAAAAACATAGGCAAATTTACTTGTGTTAATCTATATATTAAGAAATAAAGATCAAATATATTAGATTAATTTTTTTTTGATATTAAAATGATCTCTCTAGTTATAAAGACTTTTTATTAAGTAATTATTAATATTTACAATTATAATAAAAGTATAGGATAAAGAGGTGTGGCGACTTAGTGTAGTGGTCTAGTCGTCACCCTTTTCCAAGTGGCAGGTCTAGAGTTCAAATTTCACGGACGATGAATTTTGAAAAATAGCCTGTGCTACGGTTTACGGTTGTCAATTATCGGTTGGATCTAGAAATCTGTAATCTCGGTC